TAATATACTATATTTCTTTTGGTGAATTCAACATTTAGCTCTTTGCTATAATATAGACTTTTAGAAACACACTGTCCATGTTATCGCAATTTTATTTTGTATTTATATACACGCTTTTAACTGCTTTCTCACTTTAGATATTTGCATGAGGTAAAAGAAAGATATCCTTGTTCACTAAATCTAGTTACTCCAGATGATATAGCATAGAAAAATGACCGAGTTCTGACGAATCGAAGTTTTACGATCGTCGGCGTGGCACACGTGTGAGAGTAGAACTCGAAGAGTTCGTGAAGCGTCTTCAGATATTACCTCTAAAATGAACCTGTAGTAGGCGACATCAGAAAATGTTATTCCACAGGGGCTCGGTTTCAGGATACTTTCGATTAATAATAAACCTAAACACACCAGTAAATAAAAGCAACACTTTTTATCGAATCCGGTGTTTATACACATTCTAAAACCTTATAAAAAATATTGAGGGTATAAAAAAGCTCGGTACCCTCCCTCAGTTTTCATAAGGTTTTAGAGTGTGCATAAACACCAGATAAAAAGTGTTGCTTTTATTTACTGGTGTGTATAGGTTTAGGACTAACTGAATGTATCCGAAAACCGAGCCCCTATGTGTTATTCATATGAATATGATACAACTATGTACCTAACTTCTGCTAGATATTTTAAAAATTGACCGAGTTATGATAAATTGAATTTTTACGACTGGTGGCGTGGCACACGTGTGTAAAGAAATCTACAGATCATGAAGCGTCTTCAAACTATATCTTAAATTAATCTAAAACGTTATCGACATCAGAAGATATGTAATCATATGACTATAACACACTTTATTGGATGCACAAAACCAATAAAAAAAAGGTCAAAACTGGTAAAATTTAATCCAAACTCTTGTTGGTCATTTGATATCGGATACATCCTCTTGCGTTTGGTATTGCAGGCTTACCGGTGACGTTTTTCTGTTCCGGTCTTTTTCAACCAATCAGAATTTTAAGATAGAAACCCGTTTTAAGATAAAAACACTTCAAACCATAAAGAATACGTTTGCAAAGTTCACGTAAATAAGATACGATTTGAAACATATTTGTTTATTCCCGAAGAGATGTTTAAAACGGCGATTGTTCAGCTTCTTATCAATAATAACCAATCAGAGCGTCGCAAATTTTAAAGTGCGTTCTGGACGATGTAAAGAAAAAAGATCGCATAGTATTGTAGTTTCGTTTTTGTTACTATATATAGCTTTTTACTTGAACTATATATATACCACGCGTACGATATAAAAAACGCTATGAACAATCCGATCTTTCAGTTAGTTCAACATATTGGTAAAACACAATCTCATTTCGATTCAATTTTATACTTTTTAAATATTTTGTTCTCTGATGCATCGTTCTTGTTATAGGGACCACGGAACCAAATCAAAAATAGATTGTGGGTTTTTCCCTTTTGGGCTGAAGATTTAATAGAAAGGTGAATGCCTCGGGGCCTGCTGGTTGGATACTAAGGTGGCAGAAGTTTCAAAGTTTTATGTGTGGGTTGAGAAATATATATAGATGTAATATGTATAAAAAATAAATTAAAAAAATCAAGTCTGGTTTTGTCTGGGTGAGTTTATTAAGTGTGTAATTTATTATAAATTTTGTTCGATTTTTGGTGCCGAATTTAATACAAGATGGCAGCCCCCATATAAAAAAAGTTCAAATTGGCAGAATTTTGAAATATTTTTTTTACAGTTGTGTGAGATGCCATTCTTCAAAATGAGGTCAGGTAAACCAGTGTGGATAACCCCATTTAACCAGGACAGTGGTAAACGTTAACACTATCGTCTATGGAAAATCATTTGGTTCCGCGGTCCCTATAGAGTAATAATTATAGGATTGTAAAAGATATTAATTTCTCACTCTCCCGGCTATCTGCAACAACACATCACAGTCGTACGTATTAGGGACACATTTTCCATTTTCAATCCTCTCTCAGAATTTTCTCGCGTGTTCGTAAATATGGTGTTTTATTTTTACATATATCATACTGTTCGTTCAAATAGTTATTCGTTTGTTAATCCGTAATGATCCTTTTTGTCCTAAAATTTCAAAAGAAAACTAAAAAAAGACTTCACGCAGAAAGAAACTAAAATGTTAAAATTGGTACAAAGAATATTAATACTCATGTATATATTACATAATTAATGCAAACTTAAAATTTTATCATAGAGGGTAATTTCCTGTATTTACTAAACATGATAACAGAGAGGAAGTTGTCCTCTCCCGACTGCGCATAGGCCGTTCCTACGTCACACATACATGTAGTTACATTTTATGCCTTGTTGTCATCTATGTGATCAGCCATTTACAGTTAAACATTTTATGATTGAATGCCCTAATTTCAAATTTAAAAAAATGACAGGATTCTATAATGTACCGTATATGAAAAGTTATTTGATACCGTTTCTGTGCAATCAGCAATGATTACTTACGCTCCATCAATCATTATAATAAAAAATGATATTTTTTGCAATCAATTCGTTCTCTGTTGTTGTTTGTTTTTTACATGTGTACGCCTTTAAACCGGTTTTTCTTAACACCACTACATTATTTAACAACCCTAAACATTACAGATAGTGCCCATCTTGTCTATGGTCAAGTGTCACCTTGACTATGTTTTACCCGATCTTACCTGAGTGTTCCTGCGCAATGTGTTCTGTTCTTTCTTAAATATGAAATGTATTCTTGTAACTAAAGTTTTGATTTTAGATTACTACAATGTATTTTAAGCAACAAGATGGTATAACGGGCACATGCTTTGAATTGAAACAAAGTTGAATAGATTGGTTGTACAGATATATTTAGTAATAATGTACTATTTTGTGTAATATTATGAATTTGTTTCAAAATCATTTAGGCGTATATCTGTGTATACATATACACTCAGATGATGAATGTCAACACAAAAAGTGACGGTGAGGTTATTCTTAATACCTTTTATTTCAAATACTACATAAATATATCAATTGTCTCTCATCATGGAAAATGACGGTTTGAGTCATTCTGATTACCCCCCTTTTCGTTGTGAACGAGAATGGCTTGCCATGGTTAGAGTTGCCAAATGGTCCAAATATACTGTCAGAACTACGTTAGGGAAGCATTATATAAGGTCGAAAGTATTATAAAGTACCCGGAGTAGTAAGAACGCTGCACGTACTCTACCTGGTACAAGGGCCAGTAGGAAAGAGAATAAAGCTGACGTGAAATCAAGCGCAGTGTTGTCAATGCTATGAATAGGTATTTAAAAGCATTTACGTGACAAGTTTGTTTGTTTTTGGAACACAAATGAAGTGATATTTATTTTTTGTAAATGAACATATAAATAAGTATCGAAAAGCATTTACGCTACTAGTATGTTTGTATTTGGAACACGAATGAGGTTACATGTATATTGTTTTGTAAACATAGTTTATGGACATTATGGACAAAGTGAAAACTGAAAAGGTCATTTATTCGCGTTGTAAACATTGCGCGAGCAGGCGAGGTTATACATGTATGTCTTCTCTTTAGGACAACACGATTATGGAAATACTTTTATTCATACAAATTTCAGAGACTTGGGACAAGGCATTATTTATTACCGGAATATGTCCGGTAAATTACTAAAACAAAAGTGTGCATGCTCTTTCGCCATGAAAAAATATGTCCCATGCTTACAGTTTTGTAATAAGAGAATAGATACTTGCAAAAATATGTTATCATAAAAAAGTTTGTTTACAAATATGCTTACATCTCCTAGTAAATTAGAGTTAACATCGTATGCATACGTACTCTATATCATCTATGATTGGGCTACCTGTACATGTATTGCATTTGCCAGAAATGTTTATTGTGTGTGATGACTAACCTTGACTTACTTAGTGTGAGAAACGTTTGGAAAAGGTAGAAAGGGTTAGTATCCAGGGACATTAACTGCGTGGTCTTGAATAAACATAAAAAAGCAAGTAATAGATTTTAATAATAAATTTAATAATTTTGTCTTAATAACAACTTATCTCTGCATGCATGCTCTTTATAAAACATAAGAAAAAGTGTTCAATCCCATAAATATGTCTTTTGAAAAGAAAGTTTGTTCTGTGGTCGTGTAATAGAATTAAAAAATAATGTCGATTTGACCTGGTCTCATTTCGGTAATACATATTTCCTAGTCCTGTACATTTGAACATGAATAAGTATAGCTAAGGTTATTTTATCAGTTGCAACAAGTACTTAGAGATTGTTCGAATTCCTCCCCTCTCTTGGCCCCCCTTTGCCACATTGTTGTGTTTATAAATGAAACTGCATCGTTTTGAAATCGTCACCTGGCGTTATCGGATCTATATTTAATTTGAGCTTCCCGTAACAATCAACTGGTCACACTTGACATTCGGATTTGGCTATAAATATGGGGATAGCAAGAAAACAGAACGGGCACAAACGATTGATTAAAGGAAATGTTGTTTTTAACGACATGTCTCTTTAATCGAGAGTACATCGTCTTCCAGGAGCTCCAAATTGATGCGACAGTCAATACAACATGATTACCGACTGTATGTACTGATTAGATCAACTAGTTTCTATTTAAAACCGGTGATATATAACCTCTAACAAAATTCAATATTATGATGACAGAAAATAGGTTTCATGTCATTTCCTGAGCGCGAAATGTTTACTTACGTCCTTTAATACATCGTGTGATATCTTTGATTGCAGTTCAAAGTCCTTCATGTGTAACGTACTATAAAGCAGACATAAATCTTCTCACTGGAACGGACAGTTACCTCACCCTAACATTGCGAGCTACGTGAAATACATTATAAGTGGTGTATCATGGATATTCAGTGATAACCAGCTAATCCTGCCATACCACCACGTACTATCCAGGTCGATGTGAGTGATATCAGTGCGCGAACTCCAAATTATACCGATCAAATGTTAATGGGCCATTCTTGTTCCAGCTGACTTTCAAGCAAACATGTGTGGTATATGGGCAGTATTTGGTAGCAGTGGTGATATTTTCACACATTGCAAGGCGGCATTCAAAATAGCTCATCGTGGACCCGATGCCTTTCGATTAGAAAGCATTTACCAATTCCCGTCATGTTGCCTTGGATTTCATCGTCTTGCTATACTTGACGCTCAACATGGGATGCAGCCAATGCGAGTGCCTCAGTATCCTCACGTTTGGCTTATCTACAACGGAGAGATTTATAATCACGCAAATGTAAGTTTAATTGTCGACTAAATGAGTATTTATACTGTATAATTAAATCTTATTTTCCATGCATATACAAGCGTTGTTTCAAAAAATGTTTTGGGCAATCATGTTAAAGATGAACGAAAGACAAGTATACTGTTGATGTCTGATATTTACCATCGTATTGCATTGGCATTATATAATCCTACCATTATATAGCACTCATTTAGTCTATGAAAACCACAAGATGATTGTTGACGTCATAATGGTTACGTTGGATACACCTGATCCTCCTGGACTAATGGCTGTCGTATTGTTTTAACAAGTTTATACGATAAGTACATTATAAGAACTTACTTCTGAATAACAATAAATGATGTTTCTATTACATAAACCTATTCCGAAAATGGTGAATATACCTGAAAAGAACGAACTGCTGTTAGTTGGCACTCATATGCCATATGAATGCCAACTAAAAGCAGTTCAATGATCGACATGAATACACCAATAGAGCTATTTCGTTCTTATTTGACTCATCGGTGATGCTTTGGGCAATATGTTATGGATTGAACAGTTTAGGTCTATAGTTTCATTTCTTTCTTTAAATCTTCTTTACACAGCTACAGCAGGAGTTTAATTTCCATTACGCCACTAAATGTGACGGAGAGTCCATTATTCACCTCTACGCCCAGGGCGGGATAGAGTTCGCGGCCAAACATTTGGACGGAGTGTTCGCTTTCTGCCTCCTTGACACGGCCAACAGAAAAGTGTACCTCGGCCGGGACACATTCGGGGTCAAACCGCTATTTCGTATTCTGAAGGAGGACGGCTTTTTATCAGCGTGCTCTGAAGTCAAAGGTGTGTAACTATACCTGCATAGATACGATAATTAATCGGTTACGTAATTAAGATTTAATTATCCTATTTTAGTAAGTATTCACCAGGACACAAGGGGGAACGATAATTTCGATTTAGTGATCGTTAACATATGTTATTCACATGAATATGTTTATTGACTTGAGAATTCCATGGGTTTCGGATAACACGAACGCTATTGCAATAGGGCTGGTTTCGTCATATTTGATGTCTGTCCATACTCCATTACCAATTGAGTATGTTTTTACCTTAATGGCTGTGATTTGAATTCCCCGATAACTTCGTTGAGAGTAATCATCTCCCGAACACTGTACAGCTCCTAGTGTGTTATTTTCCTACCTCCATGATTTTATGAATTTGGAATGCAACATTGGTTTAAAATACATGTAATATTGTAACTTTATTCATTTTCGTACAAATACATGTTAATGTTCGCTTTAACCAGATACATGTAATATACTGAAATCACTCTATGTTTAAATAAATGCTTATTTCTATGAACATTCTGCTTATCTTGCAATTAATGTCGTATTATAAAGATTAACATCAATAAACGGGGTTCTTAGGTACTTATTAGTTACAATAAGTGGATAAGTGCTAAGAGAGCATGCTAATTAACCATGTGTTACAGATGAAAATAATTCGTTACGATTAACATTTTCAGGACATTTTTTAGTAAATTTATATATAAACAAATGACAAGAGTTTCTTAGTACCTCCCTAGCGCTTTCAGGGACCGCAGAACCGAATGATTTTCCATAGACGATAGTGTTAACGTTTACCACTGTCCTAGTTAAATGGGGTTATCCACACTAGTTCACTTGCCCTCATTCTGAAGAATGTCATCTCACACACCTGTAAAAAAGAATGTTAATTTTGACCTGTGCTGTGGTGGTGAGATTTGTGCACTGGGGGCCTGTTCGTTTATGCGGAACAACCGGTTTGACAATTTATAAATGTAAGAATTTCGGGTATAAATCCTGGCGGACCTGCAAATGTATTTGCAGGCCTTGCATGGCTTTGTCATGGCTCGCCTGAAAGCAGTATCAGATTACTAGGTCCGACCTTATTTAATAAATAAACAACTTTGGTCCGACCGGTTTGACCGTTTAAACAAAAACGGTCTGGGTTTGAGCGTTTTAGCAACTCGGATTGAGGTCTGAGGAGTGTTTGTTTCACACGCGTAAGGATTCAAGTGTTTTCGTGACTCTGATTCGAGAGAGCACATGAGTACATTAGCGTATCCGGTTGAAACGGTTGAACCGGTTGAACCTGTAAAGAAACCGACAGTCACAGATCTGGACCGAGGCTGACCTCAGGAAAATTTGGCACGTGTTGATTTAGGGTCCAGACGTACCTGGCCGAAACTAAATTGCTGACTATTGCCAGTTTGCGTTATTTCTTTCTAAAACAATGTCAAGTCACATGTAGTTTTTAAGATACGTTATGTAATTCAGTGGACGGATGAAAGAAGTTCACACTTAATGTTCTTGAAACACTGTTTTTCATTCTCCGAAGCGGTGCATTTTTAGCTCTGCTTATAGAACGGTCCAAGTGCGTTCGTTTATCGTCGAAAATTTCTTGCGTCACACGTACCGTTTCAACCGGGATACGCGAATGTAGCCCAGATGAAGACTGTCAAGCATTAACGCTGTCTGTATGGTCTAGCTTTTTATATTTTGTAAGTTCAAGGAAGAAGTAAATACATATAAACCGTATGAGTGATGAAGTATAACGTAATATGACATATCGTGCTTAGGTTGATAACGGTAATAAACCATCGTTGCTACCACGGACGTGGCTCTGAGACGAGACGATATGTGAACTTTGTATGCTTATCAAACATTTCTGTTACACAGCATGCTATTTCTGGTGTATTTGTTTATGAAATGGCTGTGTGACAATAATTCGCGCTGTGTCAAAATATTATCCAATCCTGTGTAAGGGAAATAACTCTTACGTTGGTAAAGTCGCATTGAGAAATATAATACAAATATATTCCAAGAACATTTGTGAGATTTTGTGATGAATTGTATATTCAATGACAGTAAATAAAGTCACTACATTTATTAATAATAATTATTATTATGAATAAAAAATAAATAAAAATAAAAGGAGTACAATGTCTCTTTTCTCCATGCATGTTTTCCCACTACTGTTAAGTATCCTTCATTTCACAAGCACAAAATGCACCTATTCTTTATTACCCATTCACCGATTGCCATTTTGCACGTACATGCTCATGTCACATCATTGGAGGATGCTAATTAATGACTATTGTAACAATGCGTCACAAAAGAGGGGGGAAAAAGAGGAGAGGGAGAAATGTTTTAATGCATCATTTAAGAGGTGATTTATTTTGGAAATTCCAAAGGCAACATCATTACATGACCTGATTTTCAATTAGCAGAATACATAACACATATCTGAGGTATTATAGTAGATATTGATGCTCAACGTGTTACTGAAGCAATTAAATTTAAAGTGGTGAGCGGCTTTAATGTCAGACTGACATAATTCTAGTTTCTACATAATATTTCTATTAACCCTTAGACTGCCACATGGATGATATGGGCCGATCTGATTCCTAGGCCAATCCGCTTTTAACGAACTTTGATGTCACGCTCGGCCATGTCCATGACGTCATCAATTCATGTGACATGAGACGATCTGGAAACTGTTTGTTCTGTGAGGCGATTTGTGTTCAAATTTCAATCAATGCAAAACACTACATCGGTATCGCAGATGCGCATATCGTATACCAATGGAAAGCTGAGAACATAATCTTGAAGCTCATATATATACGATGCATGCTTTCCCCGTTCTTTGAAATACCCGTCCATAGATAAGATAAGTTTGGATAAAATTTTACCAATGTTACAGAAGAAGAAGGGTTTGAAGATTTAAATCTGCAAATCTCCTTTTGATCCCTCATCCTCCCCACCTAAAGGGACCACATCCACCATTTATACAAAATTAAGTCCCCTTGGCCAAAGATCCGGGCAAAATTTGGATAAAATCCCTTAACCCTACGGTAAGAGATGGATTTAAAAAAAGAATCCTCTATTTCCTTTATTGGGCCCACTCTTCTGCCCCAAGGGGGGCCACATCCATCATTGACACAAAATTGAGTCTCCTTGGCCTAAGGATGCTCCTGACCGAAGGGGCGCCACACCCACCATTTACACCAAATGGAGTCCCTTTGGCCAAATGATGCTCAAGACTAAATTAGAATAAAATCCCTCCGTCCCTATGGTAAAAGAAGGTGCCACACCCACCATTTATAAAAAAATTGAGAACTCTTAGCCTAAAGATGTTTCAGGCCAAATTTAGTCAAAATCTACTGAGCTTTTCAGGACTAGTAGCGTTTTAAAGGAAGAGTTGACGGACGGATGAGGGACGCTGCGGTATGGCATCAGCTCACTATATATATACAAAAATAAATCTGCTCAACCATTGCAATATTTTGAATATTTATATTTCTTTCTTCTTCTTCCTTATATTTCCTAGCGCCTTGCTTTGAAACACCTCATTTTTGGCTGGCTTTAATGTTGAGCGTTCGCCCAGGTGAGGAAGGCAATGTGTTTCTGTCCCCAGGTCGGGACATACCAAAGTCCTTAAACATAGTAGTTGTTGTTACAATGTACCTGCTTTTAGGGTAATGGAAACAACTGGTTCACCCGTCGTCAGTATAATGTGACCTGGCAGAATGCTGTGCTCGGTGTCTTCGGCATGGTATTTCAGCGCGATAGAACTATAAAGTCGTCATCAGATCTGCGCTATTATAAGGAAACAAATACACCGACATACTCCCACTCCTGCGCACACACATGCAAGCACGCACACACAACAAACATGAGGCACATCCTAACACAAATGAAACAGACAATCTTATCTTATATTCATTAAAGCCAGCTTGAAAAGAAATTGAAAGGTAGAAGTATAACGTAGATCATTTTAAAGCTGTTTTTGCATTGTTGATGGCACGAATTGGTTATAAATGCAACTGATATATATCATGATGATTTATGTTTGTTATTTTGTATTGAATAGTGAAAAGAAGCTCTCAAAATCATTGTAATTCTAGGGTTGGGAGATAACCCAACTGCAACCGTCGAACAATTCCTACCCGGACACGTAGAGACGTATAATCTCGACTCCATAGGACGAGCTACATTTGTTGAGCGGACAAGGTTCCATAAAATAGGGGACGCCCCGGCATACAAAACAGTGGTAAACCCTACAGGTAGGACTAATTACATGTCATTAACCTATTACTTAGCTCACATTGTCGGAAGAAAATCACTCTTGTATTTTGTATAATTTATAGTATATGGTTCAGTATTATTGATATGATTGATCATAGACTTTTGAAAGGGCCTGTTTCCAGTAATGTTAATTCTCCATAGGAACCTGCCCCCGTATAATTTCTTATCTAGCTCAACTACTGTTTTTTTCTTTTCCGAAGAATAATTTTACACCTTTCCGACACCCAGATTTCATAATTTCAGTGAAAATGTATTTTTATAAAGTTGTCAATTTCAGCATCAAAGACATAAGTTCGTAAATAAAAGAAGGTTATCTCGAAATTGTAATTCGCAACATAGTATAAATTTCTTTTGATAAATATTTCCAAAACATCGTGTTTATTCATAAAACATAAAAAAAAATATTCTCGGATGAAAATGCACTTGCAGAGACACAATTATGAAGAAAAATGCCATAAAATTGCAATTTTCTCCCGTTATATAGTTTTGGATGCAAATTTCCATCAGAAAATCGGATAGAGCTTTACTTGTTTCATATGTGTACCAAAAATCAGCTAATTCCATGTGGTGGAACGTTCTCATATCGCCGCCTGAATGTGGTTGTAAATTGAAAGAAAAGGGGAAATGAGTAACAACCTTGTCTGAAACCCTATTATATAGCTTATTATATACAAACTTTTATATTGAATATCAGAGCGGATATTTTCATGACAGTTTTATGATGTGTAACGACTAAATAAACAGTATCGATATAAAGATTTACACTGAGGACACCCTGATACATGAATACTGTTCTATCTCAAGTTGTCCTCTTCTGAATTTTCTGATCGTGTGGCCTTGTACATTTATCCGTATCTTCTTGTCTTTGTCTATACGTTTACGGAATCATTGACTCGACGCTAGCTATTCTTGTCTCACTTTCCTTGTTTTATTGTCCCATCTCCAAAGCGTTGTGGCTCTGTCAGGGTTGGGACCCTGACTTGTCTCACTTTCTTTGTGCCTGCCGACCACGCCACATCGAATAGATAGATTATCCATATGAAATACTTTATTTTGTTCTAAGTAATCAATCAATTCTGCGCTTCTTGGAGGTATTGAATGTGATTTATTATATTGTCTTGTTATTTTGTGTAATTAGTTGTTCGTTATTTATCACACATTTTCGCATAATTGTACCAAACTACTAAGTATTAGCTGTTTACAGCAATCATCGGTGGCTTGCTATTTTGTTACTTTATCGACGCTTCATAAACCAATCGTTATTGTTTCAAGATGGAGGGTAAATGTGTTGGAGAAGGGTGTCAAGTATACTTCAAGAAACGTAGTGGCAATAAGAACAGAAGTGCACGCAATGTAAATAGTCCACAATATAAATGGCTCCTAGATACGCTGGTGCAACAAGGATTGATGTCAGCAAAGGAACAAGCACTTATTTGCCAGAAGTGCTACATGAAGTATCTTCGGAACAAAAATCAGCCTGAACCTGAACCCGAGCAGAACCAGGAAATAGAGGAAGAAGACGACTCCCCGTCCCATATCCTGCCGTTGCTGACCCTTCATGATCTTTTGAATGGATCATCTTCACACAAAAAATGCTGTCTCTGTCTTGTTACCTTTGCAAGAAATGGAACAAAATCATCAGTCTTACCAAAACGTGCAAGACATCACCTGATCTATTCACACAAACTGTGGTGTCCCACCTCATCCCGCGTCTGCTCCATTCACCTTATTGGTAACGACTTAGATCCGTCTACAGAGGTTGTCCTTGATGGTAGAGGTTCCTTGGAATCTCAGTTACCATCAAAATCGTCCGAAATCATTAATGACCTCCTAGAGGTGTCGCACGTCCTTTCACAGAACCAGTCTGCGTTTACAATAAGCTTTTCTTCTCTTGATGACTCGGCATGCATGGCCTGGACAGGTTGGTCCAAAGATCAGTTCCTCGAAATCCACTCGCACTGTTCCCCATATCTTTCATCTGGTATATATACCAAGACTACACACGATGCTCTATTACTGTTCTGGGTAAAACTGAAAACCGACATTTCCTGGAGTCAGTGTTCTTCTCTTTTTGGAATTTCCAAGTCAAGTGTGTCCAAAACTTTCCACTCCATAGTACAGGCATTAGACACATCGATAGTCCCACAATTTCTAGGTCCGGATCACTTGACAAGAGAACAGTTGCTCGGGCACAATACTGTCTTTTCAGAAGCATTTTTTGGAGATAAAGCCACTGCCATATTAGATGGCACCTATATTTATATCCAGAAAAGCTCCGACCACAAGCTCCAGAGAATGTCCTACTGTGGCCAGAAGAAGAGAAACTATCTCAAATTCATGAGCATCGCCTTACCAGATGGCTACATTCTGGACACAGTAGGACCATTCACTGGCAGCGAAAATGATGCTACAATTACAAAAAAAGTCATGGACAAGCTAGTTACTTGGCTACAACCAGACGACAACGTTGTCGTTGACCGAGGTTTTAGAGATGTCCTACCAGTTCTCGAAGCCTCTGGCCTCAATGCTAGCATGCCGTCATACCTGAAACCCGGTCAAAGTCAACATTCTGACGTCCAAGCAAATCTTGACAGAACTATCACCAAATCGAGGTGGATTGTGGAATCCTATCATGGTCGTCTGAAACACTGGACGTTCTTCCGAACGCAATTGGTGTCTAACAGCTTTATCAATGTCATCGAGGCTTTGCTTCGAACCGTCACAGCCTGTCTGAATGGTATTAGAGGACCGATCTACCAGAGATCTCCAGAGAGAGATGCCAAAGATAGGCTAATGGCTGAACGTATGAAGGACCGTTTGACAACACCGAATGGTTTAGCTCAGAGAGTCAAGACAGATCCGGATCTATCTAGACGGGCAAGGTCCGAGTTTGTCAAGATGGATGCATCTTCCGTACTGTTTCCCCGTCTCGATCTTGATTACTTGAGAACCATTACGTGTGGAACGTATCAGATATCTCTGGCTCCTGGTTACATCGCCGAACATTTAAGTGATGACGGAGACTATGAGGTGTGGCTTTACCAGCACTCCCCAGACCTTCTCCGATGTCAAATACATTCTCGACACAAAAGCCAAACGAAATATAACGTTTGGATACGGTTCACCGTTTCACCCGATGTTGAGGCCCCAATAAAGGACTACTACTGCCAGTGCCCAGTTGGAGAGAGAACGATGGGAATGTGTGCGCACATCTCCAGTATCTTGTACTACCTTGGGTATTACAGGACGCTGGAAAACCCTCGACCATTACAACCACAGGTAAAGAAATTCCGACAAAACTTGAAATAGTTTTCCATGCGGCAACGGAGTGCATATGTCGAAAGTATGTTTGGGGCTCGATATGAAAGATCCCCGTTACCATGTGACTAACCAAACTTATAAATATAGGTATTATACAATCGCCCGTAGCTATGAACACTCCCGTAAATGCGAAAACCAACCAAAATCATAAGGAACACGTTTTGTTTGTTGTTCTGTCTATTTGTCAGCCAATGTCTTCAACCACGGGGACTTGTGAAGTAGCCATCTTGGATTTTTTTTATGAAAAAGTGTTTCTCTCACTTTTTTTCATATCTGTGTACATATTCTCAACATACCGAGCAAATACTCTCGTTTTTTTGTTAATTATCTAAAGAAAGTCGAAAATCGGCAATTCAACCATAGGCTAATTCAACCCAACATTTGAAAATGTTCCACCACTTACATTTTGATGATTTTTCCTCTCATCAATAGCATATTACGTACTGTTTAATAGGATAAAAATTGGTTTGCATCCAACGCCCATAAAAGGGTGTATTCTCTAAAAAACACAGTTTTTGTGTCTAAAATGTTATCATCAAAAATGGCATTTTTGAGATTGTTTCTTCCATAAAACAGCCAAATGGCGCGATGGAAACATGATTTTTTGTCACAATCATGCCATGAATGTATTCTTTACGATGACTATCATTTGATTAGATTTTCATTAATATTTTACATAATATGCACATTTTATCAACACTTAGACAGCTTCTGAAAGGTACAACTTTGAGGAGCCATAAAAAAACAAACTAAGTGACCTAAATCTTTATACTTTATAGATTTGTGACCACAACGGCATGGGCAATGCACCATCAACAGGAAATTTGAATCAGAGAAGGGGCCGTTTTGGAAACCGGCCCTTTGAATAATTATACTAGTTTCTATGTTTTCATTTAAAATACAAAGAAAAAGAAAACTACAAAATTATGATTGCCGATTCCTGTGTCCTTTCCCAATATTATTTAAAATCTAATCTCATGAATTTTATAAATGTTAAGTATCATAATAAGAAATGCAATATCGAAAAATCATTTCGTACTCTTGCATTGATCTGTTTTAATAATACGACACGTTAACGACTATTTATTTAATCACAGATAAAAATATTAAATCCAGCATCAGGACCCTGTTTGAGGCTGCTGTAAAGAAGAGAATGATGGCAGATCGTCGTATTGGATGTCTACTGTCAGGTAAGTTTCGTATACAATGAATGTTTTGTATAAATTAATTCCTATTTTTTTGTCATTGTTTGTCAATATTTACGTGATATTAAAATTAAAATAATAAATTGGCAATCGATTCCTCTTTTATATAGTAAATATTTCAGTGGCTATCAAAATGTAGCGATTCGAATACGTTAAACGTTAAAAGCAATGATTTGTTATATTTAGTGCAACAGCTGTTTGGAAAAGCAGTAGAAACATTTGTATGTTTAATCCAATAGATCGGCTGATATTTAATTTCCATTCAAGTTTCATCATTCTCCGATACATTGACAGTTCATAAGATAGCAGTATATGTTGTTTAAGTTCAATTATTTGTGTTTTATGATGTTTAAACCATTTTGAAATATACATTCACTCAGACTCAAAATCATAGAGACATTATTAAAAAAAACATGTAACAGGCATGGTGTGATAAATAAAAAAGCAAAAGCAAATAATTTACCAAAGGGTATGGTTACGTATATAGTATATATTATGATGAAATCACTAAAAAAAAAAAGACAACTTGGATCACAAACAGAAAAAACACTTCTGTGATAGTATTAACATGGAGATAAATTCCAGCTCCAAATTTGATTGTTTACCCGACTAGTATTCTAAACTCCTATTTTCAAAACATATATTTTACGTTACAGGTGGTCTTGACTCGAGTTTGACTGCGGCCACGTTGGTGAAATTAGCTAAAGAACAGAACCTACCATACCCTGTACAGACGTTTTCTATCGGAATGAAGGACAGTCCCGATCTGGTGGCGGCCAGAAAGGTACAAGCCCATAATTCTACGGTAGATCACTGTAATATTCGTGAAAACTTACTTTCTGAGAACTGTGAAGTTTTGATTTGCGATACGTAGCAGTAGTACTACTATGTTAATAGATCAGATCTGTCTTATTAAATATTCGCGATATACTTTGAATCACGATAAATCCTCTTTATAAGATAACGTGAAAATATAGATTTGCGGTATTTAAAAAAATGCGGGATATCCCGTCATGGATGTAACTGTCACTTTCAGGCCAACCATGAAAGATAACATTAACAAAGAGAACTGTAAATAATACAGACGGCAAAGAGACCAGATACAGCATCACGCCAAAAGTATTTGTGGAGTCTCCAAATATATTCTAAATTTTATGTATTCTTATAATTTCACACATTTGTGTTGCCTGGTTTCCGAGGTATGACAAGTTATTCATAAAATATCGACTCTACTGTGCCATGTTGATTAATCATGAATACATTTATTTTTTCTCACATTACCATAGTTAATAGTTCCACCTTATCGCCTGTCAGAATGATCACAAATTTACATGGTTTCTAGTTTTCTGTATCATTTTTTCAGGTCAAAGCAAATGAAATAAATAAATAAATATCCGGCCAATTGTAAACTATATCCATCTGTCTCGAAATCTTAATTCGGACATATTTGATCAGATGTGATTCACCATTTTGTTCATGTTGGTAAACATTATTACCAAACTTATTTTAATAGGCATATTAAAGTGCTTTGTGTTTATAATGAATTTCATACCGTAACTTCCCGTGTATTGACTGCAGGCAATACATTATTCTTAAATGTACTCTGCAGGCTATCTGATGAACAGGGCAATTTTACTTTTTTTTTAAGAAAACTTTTAAAAATGCGGGAAATGCGATATTTTCGAGATCCATAACTTCGAAAAATTCTTCAATCATTAAAAAATCAAAACTAATTTTTGAAATTTATATTAACGAAACTATTAAGCATCGCCTCTATCGAGTACTTAGTGAAGAGCGAGGGGTCGCCGTTGCTGTTGACATCAGTATAATGAATGGTGCTTTTGGTGTATCAAAAACATAAAGCAAAACAAACTATAAGATATGTAATTAAAAGAAAACATCATTACTAACATTGTTGCATATCCAGTAAAGTACATGAGAACTACATGTAACTGACTTTGGAAGTGTACCTGGTTTATAATAGTTTTTTTAGGTAAACCAGAAGGCACTCTACAGACTTTGTTTACAAAACATCATAATTTGAGGTTTTGCGAACAATATAACGGTGCCGGTAATACGCAAGCAATTACGATACTGTAACCGCAATTGTTCATTGGAAAAAAGCACGATTTTCGTTCTTACATCCATGCTCTTATTTTTCTTTTTTCTTTCCCATTAGGTTGCTAAACACCTGGAAACGGAGCACCACGAGATAGTTTTTAAACCTGAGGAAGGGATCGCCGCCATTGAAAGTGTCATATACCACCTGGAGAGTTATGACATCACCACCGTTAGGTCATCTGTCGGTGGGTATTTCTTTGTGAGGTTCCTCCAAAAATGATGAACGTAGCACACGCAAAGTGCCGGTGAATCCGCGATACTTCAGTATCTGTGTTCTAAATGGAAACAGTTCGTTTGTTGGTCAATAGAATGACTACAAGAGACATTATTTTATTTTACAAACAGGCTAAGCAGTTGTGCAGTCGCTGTTGTGGTGGCTATATAAACGGGGTTCTATTTAATTTCATCAAATAACTTCTTTTTGTAACGGTTAATTGTAGGAATATTAAAGTTATACGGTGATTAGCCATACTAATAGGGCATATTCGCAAAAGTTTAAAAAAGAGGTTCAGTAGTGCAGAATGAACTTTCATCTATATACTACTTTATACCACCCACCGGTAGCATGATAAATCCATAATCATTAGTTGTTAGTATGACATTACTCAAGAAGTTGAAAATGACTTCCGAAGAACTTGAAAACGGATTTTCCTATTTCCTGGCATTTGGGAACGTATTTTCTCAAAAACAAACGTCTGCTCGCGCCAGGTGACGTCCTAAACCTGAAGTGATAACCACACAAAAGTGATTCGCGAAAGAAAATAAACAAATAAATATAAAGTCATTAACAAATATTGTGAGGATAATTATACCGTTTCGAGCTTAAATGTGCATATAGAAAAGCTAATGGCGAAAATGGTTGTTTTAAACATATTTTCTACACAGTTTTAAGGTTCATTATATTTCTCCGCGCAAATCTTCTATTTATTGACGTTTGTCACAGACCGAGGATTTGCGATCATTGACCATTAAGCTTAGAAGTCATTTGAAAAAACGAGGTGCTAAGTTGACTTTTTCAAAAGGAGAAATATAAAAGGTAGTACATGTATACTAGTATATAGATGAATAACATTTTATCAAACGGTATTTTGAGGGTTTGTCGTGAATACAATTTTCTCATTGGATAAAATCAAGAGGCCACCGCAGGTGGAGTCGAGCTTATACCTGTACGTGCGATTTAAATAATCTATAAATATCGTCGACAAATGTTGTATATTGTTGTACACAGGGTTATACCTAGTAAGTAAATACATCAAGCAGAAGACGGATACAACAATCATTTTGTCTGGAGAGGGAGCAGACGAGATCGCACAAGGCTACATATACTTTCACAACGCGCCCTCTGTTGTGGACGGGAATGAGGAGAGCAGCCGACTCTGTAAAGACCTATATATGTATGACGTACTCAGAGGTGACAGGTCCACGTCGGCTTGGGGGTAAGGAATTACATTCATAAATAAGCAATAAATAACTTCCCATCAAGATAAGATGATAATTAGATGGAAAAAGATTGTGGGGAGGGAGAGGGGGGGGGGGGGGGGTCAGCAAAGGCACTTCTTTTATAAAATTTGGAGTCAAGGTAAATTTACACAAGAAATGCGTTCTGGACGTGATTTTCAGGTCTAGATACATTTCTGAGATTCGATGCTACATGAAGAGTATGAATATGTTTATTAAAAAAGTCTGGCAATAAGTTTCAAAATTAATGTTACAGACTTGAGATACGAGTTCCCTTTCTTGATCATCAATTCAGCAGTTACTACCTCTCATTAGAACCTGAAATGAAGGCGCCCAAGTACGGCATAGAGAAACATTTGCTGCGGTCTGCTTTTGACAAAACGGGGTTACTTCCGGCAGAGATTCTATGGCGGCCAAAGGAGAACTTTAGTGACGGCTTGTCCTCTCAGACAAGGTCGTGGTACGAGTATATACAAGACTTTGTTGATGAGCAAGTAAGCGTTTTACTGAATCAGTATATATAATTCAATAGAAGACGGATCACTCAAGCTTGTTATATTTCGGAAATATGTATTAGTATTTCATGATTCACGTGCATGAAAAACAAAGTGTCCTGATTTGATATGGTATGACCAAAGGAAATGACAGATGTGGAACCCTGAACATTTTGGACCAATGGTTTTGCTGACACTTTTTGTATGGGTCAGTGTTTTTTCAAACAAAACGTTTAAGCAAAACGTTCGGTAAATGTATTATCTTGGTTTCCTCTTTCAGTATTTTAACATTATAAGTTGATACTATGATTTGTACGAATTTGATTAACAGCAGAAACACTGACTTTCATGTTAAATGATGAATGCATCACATTCTTGATGAGCGACATTAATTTAGATCAATCGTTTTTTATTTAATATTTTAATTGAATTGTGTAAGGTTATTTGTTGCAACCATTGTCTTATTCTCAAATGAGGGCCGCGAATTATTTCTCCTCTATAGAATCAGTCTATTAATGATTTCACATTAATGGTGCGTAGCGTAATGAATTCAAAAAAGGAACATTTTCTCGCGACTGGTGACGTCCTGAACCGGAAATAATATCCGCATGAAAATGATCCGCGTGAGAACATACTCTGTAATAAACAAATCAATATAACGTTACAAAACAATGGATGGTTTTCAAAATAGTTTTCAATGAGCATGGTATTCTTCCGCGCACATCTTCTGTTTGTTTACGTTTGTCACAGACCGAGGATCGATCATTGAGCTTACAACTAAACGGCATGTGGACAATCCCATGATTTTGTGACCTCTATGAATGGAGAATTATATAAGGTAGTACAAAGGTGATAAACAGTTTATCAAACAATGTTTTCAGGCTTTGTGGCTCGAACAATTTTCTTATCGCTCGTACATGGATAATATCGCGAGTCCACCTGCGACTCTGCGGTGACCTTTCGATCTTATTCCCGTGTTCGCAATCAGAAAAGTGTTCTCACGACAAACCGTGACAACACAGAATGACAATCTATAAGCAACAATGATGAGTGTGTAAATGCAAATACCTAGGTGAAACAACGGTCATTCCTTAAAGTTATAAAGAAACATCCATACTGCAATGATTTGGCTGTAACAATCTATTACATCCTATTGATAAACAAAATATGTTTTCCTCACATTTGGCAGATAGACGACACTGAATTGGAGGAGAGTAGTCACCGTTTTCCACACAACCTTCCACGCAGTAAGGAAGCTCTATACTACAGACGAGTATTTGAGAAGTTCTATACAGGACAGGGTCATTTATTACCGTACTACTGGATGCCCAAGTGGTCAACATCTTCAGATCCCTCCGCCAGGACACTCAAACACTACAAACAGTGACGTCATCAACCACTGTCTTGATTATATAAAATATACATATATATATATTAAGCATAAAGTGCAAAGTCGTTTTTTCCGATTGAATAATTTGGTGTTTTTTTTGTGAGTACAACATTTAGCTCTTTGCTATAATTTTGACTATTGGCAACTCACTGTCCAAGTAATCGCAATATTATTTTGTACATGCGTTAAACTCCTATATCACTTTAGATTTCTTTTCAGTAAAAGAATGGTTATTTGAATTTGAAACATATGGAGTAACCAATTCCTTAGTAATATATGGACTTTCATATCAGTTCAAAATATGGGTGAAAAACGATCTCATTTTCGATTCAACTATTAGCCTTTTTTATTTTGTTCTCTCATGCATTGTTCTTGTTATAGGTTAATAATGATAATGATAGAATTGTATTCCTATGATTGTGTCTCACTCTCCATGCTACCTGCAAAAATACATCACAGACGTTCTTATTAGGACATGTATTTAATGTTTATGCCCCTATCAGATTTTTCTCACATATTTACGTCAGTCACCTCTTTGTCAGGATTTGAAAATATAAAATACGATTCACATATGCTATATTATTTATAATACTGTTCGTGCAATTAGAATGTTTATTCCGAAATGGCCATTTTAGGTCTAAAATGTCAAAAAGAAAATCAAAATGCCATCACACATATCAAAAGAAAGTAAGGTTAAAATTGTTTTTTGGCTCTGTATGACCTCAATTGTTGATTAGTCGTAAAACAACACAACACAACAGAGGCGTGTGACATATTAGGTGGAACATAGGGATAAGTGTTCAAAATCTTCTTCATTAAGAATAAAGGGTTCCTCAGGCTTTCCCTAGTAAGCAATATCGATAGCCATCGGGCATGAGGGGGTTGTCCAGTATAACAGTATGTTCGATAAACACCGTGGCTGGGGTTCACAATCACAAATCAGATCCGGTTTAACCTTTGGATGCATTTATTAATCCCTTATAAAAACACTGTTGACAAAACAAATACAACATATAAATGTTACACGCAACATACTTGCATACATAACATAGTAAAAGGGAATCAACTCTATCGACAAATGCTTTTATATAACATATCCTTTTTACCCTATCAAATGTACAATTATTGTACATATACAATGATATTTATTAATATACTCATTTGTAAATCTTCAACTTGAATTAATGTATTCAGTTATCTTTTCCAAAAGGTTATTAATTCATTCTTTACATACATGTAATTACATGAATATCATTATTATCAATCCTATACTTTTACTATTGCAAATTACTCATACACACTTTTAAAATTTCCAGGTAATTCTATAGATAAAAATATAATAACATACACATTAAAACATTCTAGACCTTCTGAACACTTGCCCCACAGCTATGGTGCGGAGGTTTCCCTCAATTCCTCACCGTCCCTGCAGGTAGGGCGTAACTATTGTTCCTACTGGCCCTATTGCATGATCGTAGGAGGCAACTTAATTTTGGATCATTTCATTTTTCATTTCATCAAATTTTATTGACAAGATGTCTTAATCAATTGGATTGAATAACAGGCAAAGCCTATATAAATTCTCTCCATCAAATGGCCAAAGTGGAATAAACAAGGAGACATAATATTTTAGACATGTTCCAAATGAAAAAAATAACACAAAATAATTCATATTAACACAAGGCTAAGGGGTAACTCATGAAGGAAACATCTCACACACCTCATACACACTTACACACACATACAAGTACATGTACAAATACATTTATTTCAGCTTATATATACACTATCATAGACAGATATTGGCAGGCTTAGACCAAAAGTCCATGTGCATATATTGCACAGGTCACTGCTACCAACAACTGTAACAATTAAAAATAATAAATTCATTTAATACATATAGAGTGTAATCATTTACAATGTCAAGATAAGTACACGTAAGAGATAGTAGTCATGCTCAACTAGAATCTCCTGGATGTAATATAGAATATATAGTATATTTTTGTTTAACATCATGGCTTTAAGTCACATAAATATTAAAACGACGGGATTTTCCAATAACAATTTGCACATCATCAAGTATTCTTTTAGTTGTAAGCCCATCACAATCAGGACAGCCCTGAAGAAGAATGTTTTTATCAATGTGGTTGTGGTTTCCATAACTATTAAGAGAAGTGAACAAAGTTGTTCTTTGATTATTAAAAATAGGACATTCCAAAAAGTAATGAGATACTATTTCATGTTCAGCAGAGCAGGTACAAGCAGGACTATAAGTAAGATGGTCATGGTGTAAATCATAATTTAAATTACTGCAAGAGTTTTGTAGTCGACATAGAATAATACTTGCTCTTCGGTTACCTTCTGTTTTGAAAATTGAAACAGATTCACTATCAGAAATAATATCTTTATTCAAATATTTTTTTAATGCTGCAGGAGAGGGAGAATTAAGAAGATTAGAATTTGCAGTGTTAATTGTGCGGAACACTTGAGGAAAAAAACTGTCGAAATAGTTATTAGTTCTACATAACGGTGGGTTGAAAAGCCTAGTTTGTCTGAGAGGGGAGGGGTTATCATTTTGATTATTAATAAAGGGATTTAAAACATTTTGGAAGTATTGAGGTGTCTGCCAATGCATAATTTTGTACATCATTACATGTTTGTGGTTATTTCGTCTTAAAGATAGTGTTTCCCAACCTAGCTCATTGTATAGTTTGTCATGTGATACCCCAGAACGAAGACCTGTAATTATCCTAGCTGCTTCTAATTGTACAGATTCAAGAACATCTTTTGCCTGATGTGTACAATTATCCCAAATAATATCTGCATATTCCGAAATTGGCCGAATAAATCCCAAAGATATTTTAATTAATGATTTTCTATTGACTTTAGTTTTGACATGGCGAAGAATATTAAGTCTATTGTAAGTTTTTTGTATATATTCTGTATGTGCTATTTCCATGTTGCATCATCTTGAAGTGTAAGTCCTAAGTGTTGATGTGATGATGTGTCTATGATTTGGCTCTTTTAGAAAAATAGTGGGATGTGATGGGTGTCTTGTTTTCTGGAAGATATGAGTGATTTTGTTTTACTTGGATTGAATTTAATGTCCCATGTTGTTGCCCATTCACCTATGTTTGTAAGATCAGTGTTGAGAGATTGTGCGGCCTGTGCTGGGTTATTATCTATAATTACATACAGAGAATAGTCAATTTTGGATCTCATCTTTTCTTTCTAAACAACTTTCTTCTTCCTGATGTCTCCCTTGACAAGGCCTTACTTTTGGTCTTTAGTTGAACGTTCGCCCCTGTGAGGAAGGCTTTGGGTTCTGCCCCTGGCCGAGACAAACAAGAGTCTGCAAAAACGATAGTTTCTACTCCTGCTTAACGCTCAGTAATTTAGGAGTGGGACGACTGGTTCGCCCGTTGCCAGTATAATGTGACCGGATGGGGTGTCTTGCTGGGTGTCTTCTGCAGTATGTTTCAGTGAGTTAGCACTATCAAGTCGATATCAGTTTCGCGCTATTACAAGGAGACACACGAACATATCGCAGCCTCCCAAAACACACACGCATACACTACACGCATGCATATTGCACACATGGGAGGCCGTCCTTAAATGACCATAGCTGTTGGTAGAACGTTAAACAATACTAAACCAAACCAATCGATTTCTTCCAATGACAAGTACAATTTGAAGTCCAACCAGGAGCTTTACCTTAAAATAATATAAATTCAAATTTGACCATTATGAATTTAATGACAATTCATAGAAAATTTAATAACAAAGGGAATATTTTTACATTCTCAATTTCCTTTTGACCTTGAAATTGTTCAATGATCAACTGTCAATTACTTTTAGATAGAAAAAAGATTAAATTAAAAAGCCACAATTGAAATACCAAAAATGGTGTATTCCCTTCATTTTCTGTTATATTAGATGTACAAAAAACTATTAAACAAATATAGTAAAAACTTGGTTCATGTCAGCTGATCAGAAGAGGAATGCCCAAGTTGGCCAAAACCTTTATACAAGTAAACTGAGGCATCCGTTCTGACCAATCATATGTCCCGTCCTTAGTCAGGTGTCATAACAACTCACTCACTCACTCACTCACTCATTTTCACACAGAGGTAAGTATATGTCACATACACAGGAAGATTAATTAAAGGTCCTTACACCATCTTTCACATTAGACAATATATGCAGATACAAATCATGTATAACAAAACTTATATCTACAATATATATATGTAAGTAATAATTAAGTAATTATTCATTACAATACACAATATATACCCTATTACATACTGTATAACCATGCTACACAATACCATAGGGCAGCCACACGGGTCGTCACCAACTTTTCGGAAAATGAGAAGGAGCTCATCATTGACTTTCTCCTGCAGAATCCCACGCTGTACTCCAAGAGGCTGGCTGCTTATAAAGAAAAACTCACTTAAGTGGTTAACAGTTCATGACAACGATGTCTACTCACGGTTCATATAATATAGATCTCAAATGTATGCCACAGACACAAATATATAGTATATTACGGAATATAACACCCAAAATACATGTCCATGTTTTTGTAGCACTTCTCTGTCATGGCTTCCTGGGTTGATACAAAATAGCAGAGAGATTTTCGACGGAACGAAATGTGTTTCAGTTTGTTTGTATTTCGCTTGTAGAACATTAGATATAATCCATTTTTGTATTAACCGGAAAAGCATGGCAAATGTTGTCTGCTTCACTTCGAACGAGGAAAAACTCATTATTTATGTATTTGACACGAAATTCTTTATTTCTAATTATGGATTTAAGGAAAGGAATATTTATTGGACCCTGTTGAACATTTAAATGTATGTAAACACACTATACTTTTTAAAAACTTAATACCGGTAGTGTGATATATGCATTACTGACTTGGATAAAGAGTATTATCCATATATATATCCATATGTACTGACTAAGTGTGTTTCACGAGATATTTCTAAACATTTTTGTTCAGGTTGGTAAGTATGGATAATGAGAAGTTCTTTTTACACCACCAATAACATTTTCTATGTGACGCCTCGATGACTAGTACGATATGTACACTGTCACCTTTGTCAGACAAATAACCAATAAAGCGTATACACACAGAGGTGTGAAAATGTGTACGAGTTGTCCATAAAATCAATGTCGATTTCGGCTAAGCTGGAAACGTTTGTACAATAGTTGTTATATACAGTTGTGGGATCACACAACATTACTCGGTGTGTGGTGTGCGCACGATGTATGCACGGTGTGTGCACGAAGTGCGAACGATAAAAAAATTAGACAATCATTGATTGCGCACATTTATGCGACGATGGACGAACGTTGTGCGTTTACAATCTTGGTTGGTGTAAATTGAGAATTGACAATATATACGGTTTCGTGCATGTGTTTAAACATATACACTTGATTATTTAGCATGTTTCTATATCCAAGCTACATCTATAAGCTTATCTTAATTCAATCTAAATCGACACATGTAAATTACAACACAGTCTCGACGATACAGGTAAACATAGCCACTTTGTACCTGTACCTGGACCGTAGTTATCGGTACTTATGTAACTCGCCAAGGTGTGCAAACCAGGTGAAAGGGAGCTATAGACCAAATCGAATGCAAATAACAAATATGTAACGTCCAGTTATGTTTTCATAACGGTCATACGGTATCACATATCAGCTCTTTGTGTCAGGCACAGGCCAGGTATAACTCCGGTCACGCATCAAATTGTTATTTACCTGTTCTATTACCTAGGAATTAAACCCATTCTTGACAGTCTAACGGTCACTGTAACACTGTGTAACACGCATTGTAAAATTGTACATAATCTTAATTGTTGTGAAGAGAAATTACAGTATATATATATATAGTGTACATTATTGCATAGGAGTCTTCGTATTTTTTACATTCTGTAATATTGATCAACAAATTGTACTAAACCGCACAGTTGTGCAGAGAAAAGCGCACAACGGGGCGAACGATTGTTGAATCGCACAGTTGTGCGCACCATGTGTGAATGATGTGCTGACGGTGTGTAAACGATGTATGCACCGTGTGCGCACGGTATTTTTGGTGCGTTGTGCGGTCACACAACTGTATGTACCGAAATGACTCAATTCAGCTACGCTTTGTTAACACTTGGTCATAGATGTGCGAGAGTCTTTGAGCCCCCTCGTCTCGATTTAGAACTGGCCCACTGTGGCGTATCCAGATGGCTTCCTTTATCTGCTGCTTCAGTTATCACAGTCAATCACATGTTTTTTTCTGTGTGGCATGGACTGTGATTGGCGATTTATTTATCTGTGTTTCTCTAGATGTTTGCACTTTAATAACCTCTTTGAAGGTTGTATCTCTTAAAAACCCTAATATGTAATGAACTGAGGTCAAGTCAGACAATCTAAATATCTTTCAGCCAGTAGCCAAATACCAACCCCCTACCTATTTAGAATTTTCTGATAAGTCATTTTAAAATGACAGATTTTAGTCTAAAATTGAATTCCCTATCCATAACCTGCCATGACCAAAAAATTGTTATGATTTTATTTTAATCTCTATTTATCGCTCCAGCAATTAAATATTAATATAAAACTTGTATCCCTACTGTTAAATATAAATATTTGAAACAAATGCTGAGCTAGATCTTAATAGTACTTCCTTAAAAAAGCACTGATATCCTGCTACAGACAAAACAGCCTTAATCAGTAAAGGCTTTCCAGATTTAAAAAAATCCTGAACGTTTGCCTTATAAATAGATAATCATATATGTAAAATATAACTATATGTTATGTTTCTCATCAAAAGACTGCTTATTAAACTGCAGTTTCGGAGAAGTGCGACATGATGAAGTCATTTTTTTTCTCATTGCGTTTTTTCTTAAAATTTGAATTTCCCGCAACGATAACAGGTAGAGTTACCTCCTCTTTGTGTACAAGTCTCTTCTATTACTACCACACTATTTATTGTAACTCATTAAACTATGCATGTGTTATGCAGTTGTTTTACATATAATGAATACAATCCATTTCTCATTACTTCGTATTTTTTCTCCTTTATTAAATAAATATTAAATACTTTCACTTTCTGTGCGGAACTGTCAAACATGTGACGTCACGCCATGGCTTCAGGAAGAATACAAACTTGGCCGCGAAAACCGAGTTCTTCAAAAGTACGCGAGGGATATAAATAGTTGGATGCAGATTTCGGCAGGTTTGTGTTGATAAATGTGAAGATTAGGTTATCATTGTTTGATAAGCGATTGGAGATAATGAGACATAGCTCGGAACGATGTTTGCAGTTTTTGTTATCGAAGGTGGTTACATTTTGTGCCCGCGACTCATTTCATTCCTGAAGTTATTTTATAGTATACGGGATATTTTTTTATATATCGAATATTATAGTTATATTGATTGAACGCCAGACTCCTATGCTTTTAACCCACACATGCGCGTACATACATGTATATTAGGTGGCTCATCGGCATTGTCGTTGATGAACATTCTTTGCACTGAAGTGATTAGACTTGCACAAGCCTAGCTTTCGTGAAGCCGACGGTTGTGTTCTTGTTGAAAGAGTGACAAACACATATTGAAATTGGTTGACCTTTGAGTCAAACATGAAACTTGTCTGTGATGTGGTCAAAACTGGTAAAAGTTACTCCAAACTGTTGTTGATCATTTGATATCGGATATATACTCTTGCGTTAGGTATTGCAGGCTTCCCGGTGAAGCTTTTCTGTTCCGTTTTTTATTAACCAATCAGAATGTGGCAAATTTTGGAGCCCGCCATTTTCAAACCGCAAATATTTTTATTGTGAGACCTGATTTGTCAAAAACGTCGACAACTTTAATTTTTAAACCCGTTTTAAGATAGAAACCATAACGAATACGTTTGCAAAGTTCACGTAAATACGATTTGAAACATATTTGTTTATTCCCACAGAGATGTTAAACGGCGATTGTTCAGCTTCTGATCTATTAATAACCAATCATAGCGTCGCAATTTTTAAAGTCCGTTCTGGACGATGTAAAGAAAAAAGATCGCATAGTATTGTAGTTTCGTTTTTGTTACTATATACAGCTTTTTGCTTGAACTATATATATACCACGCGTACGATACAAAAAGCGCTCGCTATGAACAATCCGATCTTTCAGTTACTTCAAAATATTGGTAAAACACAATCTCATTTCGATTCAGTGTTATACCTTTTTAAATATTTTGTTCTCTGATGTATCGTTCTTGTTATAGAGTAATAATTATAGGATTGTAAAAGATACTTATTTCTCAATCTCCCGGCTATCTGCAAAAACACATCACAGTCGTACTTAATAGGAACACATTTTTCATTTTCAATCCTCTCTCAGAATTTTCTCGCGTGTTTACGTCAGTCACCTCTCGGTCAGGATTCGTTTGTTGATCCGTAATGATCATTTTTGTCCTAAAAACTCAAAAGAAAACTAAAAGAAGACTTCACGCAGAAAGAAACTAAAATGTTGAAATTGGTACAAAGAATATTAATATTCACGTATATATTACATAATTAATGCAAACTTAAATTTTATCATAGAGGGTAATTTCCTGTATGTACTTAACATGATAACAGAGAGGAAGTTGTCCTCTCCCGACTGCGCATATGCCGTATCTACGTCACATATACATATAGTAACATTCTATGCCTTGTTGTCATCCATGACATCAGCCATTTACAATCAAACATTTCATGATTGAATGCGCTTATTTCAAATAAAGTCAGGTCTATGGTCAATTATCACCTGGTCTATGTTTTACCTGACCTTACTTTGATGTTCCTGCACAATGAGTATTGATTTTAAATTACTACAATGTATTCTAAGCAACAAGAAGGTATTACAGGCACATGCTTGTTTGAATTGAAACAAAGTTGAACAGATTGGTTGTTAAGATATATTTAGTATTAATGTGCTATTTCGTGTAATATTATGAATTTGTTTCAAAATCATTTAGGCATATATCTGTGTTTACATATACACTCAGATGATGAATGCCAATACAAAAAGTGACGGTGAGGTTATTTTTTAATACCTTTTATTGCAAATACTACATAAATATATCAGTTGTATCTCATCATGGAAAATGATGGCCTGATTAAGCTGAAATATATTTATAAAAATGTATAATTACTTTAAGAACACAGTATTCTTCGAGCGTCCGACCAACATTTTAAATGTCCCTGGTCCTGTTCATTTGAACATGAATAAGTATAGCTAAGGTGTTTTTATCAGTTGCAACACGTACTAAGATAATTTATTTTCCTTCGGCTTTCAAAGACCGATTAGAGATTATCCTAATTCCTCCCCACTCTTGGCCTCCCTTGCCACATTGTTGTGTTTATAAATGAAACTGCCTCGTTTTGAAATCGTCACCTGGATCTATATTTTATTTAAGCTTTCCGTAACAATCGACTGGTCACACTTGACATTCGGATTTGGCTATACATATGGGGATAGCAAGAAAACAGAACTGGCAGTGCCGACGACACAAACCATTGAATAAAGGAAATGATGTTTTTAACGACATGTCTCTTTAATCGGGAGCACATCGTCTTCCTGGTTGATGTTTTCTATTTAAAACCAGTGGCATATAACCTCTATATATTTCCAATATAATGATGACAGAAAATAGCTTTCATGTAATTTCCTGAGCGCGAAAATTGTTGACTTAAGTCCTTGAATTCATCGTGTGATACCTTTGATTGTGGTTCAAAGTCCTTTATGCGTAACGTACTGTAAAGCATACATACATAAATCTTCTCACTTGAACGGACATTTTCCTCACCCTAACATTGCGAGCTACGTGAAATACATTATGAGTGGTGTATCATGGATATTCAGTGATAACCAGCTAACCCTGCCATACCACCACGTACTATCCAGGTCGATGTGAGTGATATCAGTGCGCAAACTCCAAATATACCCATCAAATGTTAATAAGTAAGGTGTGTCATTCGTGTTCCGGCTAGCTGTTAAGCAAACATGTGTGGTATTTGGGCAGTGTTTGGTAGCAGTGGTGATATTTTCACTCATTGCAAGGCGGCATTCAAAATAGCTCATCGTGGACCCGATGCTTTTCGATTAGAGAGCATTTACCGATTCCCGTCCTGTTGCCTTGGATTTCATCGTCTTGCTATACTTGACGCTCAACATGGTATGCAGCCAATGCGAGTGTCTCAGTATCCTCACGTTTGGCTTATCTACAACGGAGAGATTTATAATCACGCAAATGTAAGTTTAATTGTCGACTAAATGAGTATTTATACTGTATTATTAAATCTTATTTTCCATGCATACACAAGCGTTGTTTTAAGAAATGTTTGAGCAATCGTGTTTAAGATGAACGAAAGACAAGTATACTGTTAATGTCTAATTTTTACCATCGTATTGCATTGGTATCATAAAATGTATAATCCTACCACAGATAGCACTCATGTAGTCTATGAAAACCACGAGATGATTGTTGACGTCATATTGGTTACGTTGGATACGCTTGAACCTCTTAGACTAATTGCTGTTGTATTATTTTAAAAAGTATGTAAGATAAGTACATGGTACATGTATGAACTAAATTCTGAATAACAAAAAGTGTCACTGATGTCTGTATTACATGACAATATTCCGAAAATGGTCAATATAAATACCGAACTGCTTTAATTTGGCACTCATATGCCATATGAATGCCAGCTATAAGCAGTTCATGCATACACAAGCGTTGTTTTAAGAAATGTTATTGAGCAATCGTGTTAAAGATGAACAAAAGACAAGCATACTGTTGATGTCTTATATTTACCATCGTATTGTATTGGTATTCTATAATCCTACCATTAGATAGCATTCATTTAGTCTATGAAAACCACGAGATGATTGTTGACGTCATAATGGTTACGTTGGATACACCTGACCCTCCTGGACTAATGGCTGTTGTATTCTTTTAACAAGTATATAAGATAAGTACATGGTATGAACTAAATTCTGAATAACAATAAATGATGTTTCTATTACATAAACCTATTCCGAAAATGTGGAACATACATGAAAAGACCGAACTGCTGTAAGTTGGCACTCATATGCCATATGAATGCCAACTAAAAGCAGTTCAATGATCGACATGAATACACCAATAGAGCTATTTTGTTCTTAATTGACTAATCGGTGATGCCTGGGGCAATATGTTTCGATTGAATAGTTTAGCTCTATGGTTTCATTTCTCGCTTTAAATCTTCTTTACACAGCTACAGCAGGAGTTTGATTTCCATTACGCCACTAAATGTGACGGAGAGTCCATTATCCACCTATACGCCCAGGGCGGGATAGAGTTCGCGGCCAAACATTTGGACGGAGTGTTCGCTTTCTGCCTCCTAGACACGACCAACAAAAAAGTGTACCTTGGCCGGGACACATTCGGGGTCAAGCCGCTGTTTCGTATTCTGAAGGAGGACGGCTTTTTATCAGCGTGCTCTGAAGTCAAAGGTACACCTGCATAGATACGAAAATTAATCGGTTACGTATTCAAGATTTAATTATCATATTTTAGTTTGTATCCAACAGGACACACGGGGGAACGAGAATTTCGATTGAGTGGTCGTTAAAGTTTGGTATTCACATGAATATGGTTATTAATCTGAGAATACCATATGTTTCGGATGAAATATACAGATAATCACCAGGACTGAACGAACACTGTTGCAATAGGGCTGGTTTCGTCATATTTGATGTCTGTCCATACTCCATTACCAATCGAGTATGTTTTAACCTTAATGGCTGTGATTTGAATTCCCCGATAACTTCGTTGAGAGTAATCATCTCCCGATCACTTTACAGCTCCTAGTGTGTTATTTTCCTTCCTCCATGTTTTTATGAATTTGGAATGCAACATATGTTTAAAATATTAGCAATATTCTCAATTTATTCATTTTCGTACACATGCTTAATGTTCGCTTTAAATAGATAATATATTGGAATCACTCGATGTTTGAATAAATGCTTATTTCTATGAATTCTGCTTATCTTGCACTTAATTTCATATTATATAAATTAACATCAATTGATGAATAGGAAATGGTGATTCTGCATAAAATCCGTCCCTCCCTCCCTCTATATTTAAAAGTAAATCCCTCCCTATCGGGATGGATCAGTAATGGATGAGGGACTGACCCGATGACCTTTCATAGGAATTCCCTCTCAAAATAGATTGAATACTCCATATTTTATTTGTTGTGTAAAAAGAACTTCTCATAATCCATACTTACCAACCTAAAGAAAATGTTCAGAAATACCACATAGGGAATATTAAGGGACTGCCTTGCATCAAGTCTATTTTTTAGAGAAACCGGTTCGATCCGCTTCTATATTGCGGTATCGTAGTTATTTTAAGCCCGGTGTTGGTTTAGTCAATTTGTGTATATTAGACACCCTTACTTACAAAAGCGTTATCAGCTGAAGTTTATCTCTTCAGCTGTGTACTGAAGATATACACAGCTGGCAGCTTTTAAGAAAAAAAGTGAAAACCAGTCGAGCGTCTCTTTACCTGTAGAACGTCATTGTCTCGCTGTCAGTCAAGCAGACTGTAGCTGAATTAGACAAATGGGCTGAAATCAACGGTTTGTCTCCAAATTTTGACACGGAGCTCAACTTACGCTGCCTTTTCCTTCTCAACCCAATAACTGTCAGATGATAAAAATACGAAAAATCCAATGAAATTTGTATTTCCTATTGGTTTTGTTTTATATAGTTGTAAACAGAAATTTTCGTCAATAAACTTGTACAGCGAACACTTAGAAGCTGAATCTAATTTTTCTTTACATTTTTACCTAAATATATCACACATTCTGCTTTTAATCATATTCATAATATAATCGGATGTATAGGTATCTCCATATTGCCATATGTACCCTACTCACATTCTAAATAGTTCGTTTCTTACTCCATTCATCCATTCACTAACATTTCTTGATAACATGCATGTAAAACACAGTTATCAGTTTGTTTTAATTTAACACAATTATCAGTTTGTTTTAATTTTTACCAGTATTTAAAATTTCTAAATTTCCTAATTATTTCCAAAGGTAATCTTCTTAATTCTTAATCCTCTAATAATCTTTTAAAAAAACTTAAATGTATTTTCTATTTATCTGGTGCTTTATGAAAGCCCCAAACTTCCGCTCCATAATTTAAAATAAAACAGACATATTTATAGAAAACATGAAGCTGAGTGTCAACATTGAAATATTTTTTCTTAGACACGTTTGATACTGGAAACAATGCTTTTCTTCCTTGTTCAGCGATTTTTTGTTGATTTTTTTTTAAATTTACCATTATAATTCATTAATATTCCCAGGTAATTAAATTAATCTACAATATCTAATACACATCCATCAAAGTACCACTTATCTTCTTTTCTTAATTTACCTCCGTTACGGAAAACCATCATCTTGGTATTAGAAGTATTAACCGTAAAATTCCATTTATTTGTATAAAGTAATAATGTATCTTAACATCTTCTGCAATCACTAAGAAGTTTCAACCAGTAACACCATATCGACTGCAGAAATCATTAAAAATAAATTAATATTTTGTAGCTCTATAGAAGGACACCCTTCTGTTAACATACACAGAAAACAATAGAGACATAATTTCTCCTTGAAATAATCCATATTTACATTGAAAAACAATCTGACATGTTTTTGTTATATTTTACACAACATTTTACATCTCTGTACAAAGACGTATTATATTCAACATTTTTACTTCTATATCTTCTTTGATAAGTTTGTACCACATATTCCGTCTATTAACGAAGTCAAAGGCTTTTTTTGTAATCAACAAAACAGCATGTGTTGTACATAGTTTAGAAATACACCTTCACTGTCAGGGCGCGTTTGGTCGTGACAGCTAGGGCGGTGGTATCTTAGCTACAGAATCGCAACATTTAGGCTTCTAGAGTACCGCTTCTGGCACAGGGTCATTGAGTGCAGTCTCGTATATAACCCTTACCACCACCCCACAACACCCTGTAGCACCAACCGAACCGTGTGGTACCATAATGATGCGCACGTTTTTGTCCGCGGTTGATCTATATTTAGATTTTGCAGATTTCAACCGGATCGGTATTCCATAACCGTCTCGAATGCTAAAATAAAAACGGAAAGACGGTTTTATGTTATATCACGGACTTAGATAACAGGGATTGGCAACACCACTCTCGTCTCGCGTATGTATTGTCCACCTCTTGTATTTGTGCACCGATCCGTGACGACTTGTGACCCTCTCGCTGGAGTCAGTTTACCTGTACTGCGCTGGCGTGCGACTCAACAGACAAGTTTCCGTTATCGATAACCACGTTGTTTACCTAGGCGATGAGAGACCGAGTGTGACACTGATTTGACAGATCAGTACACAGTGTAACAACCATGACTAAAACAATAGAAAACGAATGCATACACGTGATGATGTCGCAAACCTATCTGTTTATGTCAAGCAGCATCAGGTAAGTATCTGATCGGATGATACATCATTGTCAAATATGACTGACTTTTTATCCCGTGATAGTTATTTAGATTTAGACTTTTTAATGAAATAATTTACTGATAATGAATGTAAAACTTAATATTTTGGAGGTGATAAAAGACGTATCTGGCTATAGGCAGCTATATTTCGAGGGCATACATAGCACGGTAGAAGCACAGGGGTTCGTTACATGTTTATGTTGACTGTGACCTATATCAGTATGGCATAACGTTATGTGTATTTTGTAACGAAACCCCTGTGGGAGAAGTGACTTAAAAGGGTTAACTTTTAACAGTAACTTTGTCCTATTACATCATTTTAAATTTAAACCATTTATAAGAAAAATACAGAAACATCAGCTGACCTTTTACCTTTGTATGTTATTCTCGAAATTTTTAATAGGTTATTTAATATATGTACCTAAAAAATAGAACTCTTTCATAAGTTTATATTTCTAGGCAACAATCAAAGGCATTTTTCAAACCTGAAATCCATCTTGGCTTCACGTACATGTATATCCTTTGTCGTCATTTATATTGTTTATACAGAAATATATTCTTGATTTCTGTGACATGATTTCAGCTAAATCTGATAACATCACAGCAAGTTACATTACAGCACGGAGCTAATTCTAATGAATTTATTGAATTAAATGTCAATCATTAGCAAGTATATGTATATCATATACATATTTTGGTGCAACTTATTCGCAATTACTCCACATGGTGCATTTTCACAGCTCCTCTTTTTTTCTCTATGTATTCTGTGGTAAAAAAATGTGACATAAACTTCTGTCCCAGCACTATGAATCAGGCTTAAAATAAAAACGTTTGTCTAAACCAGACTTTCCCAAAAATGGACAAAATAATTCATTGAAAGTTTGAATTTCATTTAATCTTGTTTCAATATTCAGCATTTTGTCAATATTTAATGACTATTGAAAAATGATTGACTCCATACAATGAGCGTTGATTCTGCGAAAGGACATGTCTATTTGATATTTAATGTCTTCGCTGTAACCAAAATATTACACATTGTAGTATCATTTTTCTGGTTCCAGAAACTATATATAGCAAGTCCAAAGTATTCAAATAATTAGGCACCAGTATGATTTAAATTTGAATTCCATCTTTTTCAGCTAACCAAAATGAAACTTGCTGTTCCAGGGACAGCTCCAGCACCAGTGTTTCTGTTGACAGCACCACTAGCTCAGATATGTTGTTCTACAGGTACCAAGCCCACTCCATACAGCTATTATGTTGTCAGCAACACTTTTCAGCATCAATTAAATCATCAATATATTCCTAAAAGATTGATGATATTCAACCTCTTTGAAAGAAGTGCTTAAGCTTTTTGTGACTTTACTCCAAAGAGCACTTGTTTGGTAACTTTTTATTTTTGTGTTTTTCAAGACAATTTTTCTGATTTAGATGTGTCAGCTGTGTTAGAAAGAGAACAATTATTAAAGAAGCTACATCCAGTTCGAATAAGTCCTGAGCTTAAAACAAAGTATAAACTTGTAAACAGATTAAAGGTTGCGGTTCACATATATGCAACAGATTATTATCTTTCAAAATTGATGCGTTGTCAGTTTTGTTACTCAATAGTATCATTACTTTTTATGTGAGAAAGTTGGAATATGTTTCATATATAAATCACATTTAGAACCAAGAGCCTGCATTATATGCTTTTGCTGTAGGTTAACAAAATAAAGCAATGCACTTTAACTAATTACTTATTTCATTTGTGTTAGCTAAGTTATATATACTTTGGGAAAATAGACAAGCACAAGTAATATTTTCACAGAATATGAGAGTTTATTGACCAATGTCTAATAATAAAGTCCATATGCTTGATTTTGTATGATATACATACAATGAACAGGGCTAAGTTGAACCATTTCATAAGTCAAATAACATCTTCCTTCATGTTTGGAGGGTCAAAATCATATTATATTGACATAT